GCATTCATGACGTAATGATGTCATCTCTTGTATGTTTGTCAATAGAGAGTATTCAATCCATTGTATATATGCATCATTTGTGTTATTCACATTACTCCACGACTCCATAATAAATGAATCCAATGATTTGTTGCCCGTAGTCCAATCGGGAGGTCTTGGTGCTTTACATCGATAGCAGAATGCTTTTATCTTGGGTTGCAATCGCTCTGTACATGCTAGACATAGTCCATCCGTATATACAGTTTTTATTAGATAATACTTTTGTCCGTTTGTATCGTACGTAAATCCGATGGTAACCCAAACATCCGTGGTAAGAATATCTGGATGCTCATCACATAACTAATGGAAATGATACACAATAATAAGCTAAACTGTTCAATAAACATGACGCATAAGTAAATAGTTTACCTCATATAAATCATGTGTCTCGTCTGTTAGTTCAAGTGAAATCAATTTAACAGTTACACGTTGATCGATAGGTAGACCATATAATGATACGTGATATTCCTTATGCTCAATACAATCAAATGGAACCCATTCCAAATAGGCTTGATTTGGTGAGTTTGTTTGTAATTGAGATTTCTTAATAAACTCATCGAGTCGCTTATTGTTGCTAGTCCATCCATTGAACACTTCTTTATGGCCACAAATACACCACACGGGACTACATCGGAGTATTCCACATGCAGTGCAGAACCCATAGCGGGAATAATAATGATAATCGTAAAAGCGTCTACAAGCAACCATGTAATAGTTGTCATTAGACTTGGTAAACCCCATTATCCATTTATTGCGATTCTCAAGCCATCTTTTGTATCTTCTAAAGTTATTGTCATCATTATTATACTTGTGTGTCGGAAATGAGTATATTCTATTCACAAGTGTTGGTGTACATTCTTCGCTACTTCCAAGGAATACCAGCATTATCTTGTCATGGCGACAAGTAGCATAATAGACGTTGTCAATTTCAGTTGGCTCTATGCTGGTAATATCTGAGTAAGGAATCCATTCAAATCTTTCACTTTCCAAGGAGGATTGAATCAAGTTGTCAATATTAACAACCCCCGACATAGTAATAGTTTGAATCCGGAAAGAATTCTTAACTTATTGTGTTACATTGCACATGAACATTTTATTGTTTATTCAATTACTGAAATTATTATGCGAGTTGGATAATTAAAATCGTAAACATGGTTAACTGTTAGCGCATTAATCTCATCACTGCCATAGATGTGTTTCATACAAATTCTCCTCAATAAAGGTCTATTTGAAAGCTGTGGTAAAATTATCTGGTAGTCTTATTTCTAAGAAAAATTGCTTTAATATATAGACCTATTCCTAATTGCAAAGCGTTTTTGTAACCATGTTGCGAAATGTGTTATCTATGTCGAGTCAGCTACTACGGGAGAACGATTAGCAATTGATAACTTTTCAAACCGCTAAATCTACAAACAACAGCCAATGACTTTAAATTGTGTTTATACGCTGACGATCGATACTGCAGTATATGCCTCTAGATAGCCTGTAGGTACGAATTGGGGAAATGTTTATACTAATGTAAACGTATTTGTAAAACAATTAGTTAGCAATCGTATGTTGCCAACCTGGAAATCGATGGACGAGATCGATTTCCACGCATAGTAGTGGTTTGCGCGTCACTACCGAGGCGATGACCAAGGAGTATGAAGAGCTACTCCGGAATGCTGAAGATAATTGGGTCGATAGACGTATCCGTGGATATAAATTTGATTGTATGATTATAGCGAAAATTACATCCCTTCAATTTGATCGCGCGACTTTATTTCAAAATAGTTTGTTAACCTTTATACAAAGTTTCAGCCGTCCGTTCTCAATTCTCGAAAAATTTGTAATAATCCTCTTTTGGATTGCTCTCAACAATTGTCTGAAACCACAGTCCAGACAATTAACATTATTATAACTCTTTCTGCCTGCTCTTCAGCTTAATAAAAATTGCAGGGAAACAAACCTAAACTGTAAGGAGGATGGAGACTTCCTCTGTTGTAACGACTGAGTGATGCTCATGCGGCAGTGTGTCATCACAAAGCATGACGTTTTTGCACCGTTTTTCTGCCCTTGATTTTGAAGACATTCAATTGCATCAATATTCTGATTAACAGCCTCATAGCATGAATATTTTTTTTTTGTCCATTGTCAAAAGCCAGTGGTTTTGATGTTGAATTTTTAAAATTATTTTCTCAAGAACCAATAATAATAAGGAATTGTAATAGAGTTTGTGTTTTTTTTCGAACGCACACTTTATTTTAATTTGTTTAAGTTTTCTACTACATTTCCTTTTTGAGTAAAAATTAGACCTCTCAAGCTATATATAATCAAAAAATTATTAAATATCGTGACCTAATGAGAGGTATTTTCGATATATTTGAATAAAAACTATTCAATAATTAATTATTTTCCTCAATGTCGTTTTAATTATCCTGACGTCTAACACGTTCTTTACGAATTAACAACTTTACCCGAAACTTTGTTATGACACAAGCGTCGATTCGCAATGTTGCACCATCTGTATGAACGTCACTGTACCATTCGTATGCAATGTCTGCAATGGCATGACAAAACAAATCTTCAACTAATCAGATAAACGATGAGAAGATTCTCAAAATTATAAGTTTTATTAAATATTGTAAATACAATTTCTGAGAAAACATGAG